TTCAGGGGATGTGACTCTCTGAGGCGCTGACTTCCACTAAAGTGTTTTGGACGTCTGTTCAGTGACATCGTCGTGTTGACTCTGCAGACAGAAGAAAGTCACAGCACTAATTCCCTCTTAGTAAACTTTTACACCAGGCTAAGTTACAGCACCATGACTGTGTATTCTGCTGCAGTTTGGATGTAATTTGGCAATGTGTATTGAACCCTGCTTTAAAGGTCTCATATTGTATAAAAGTATTTTTCCATGTGTTGTTTGATTATAAAGCAGGTCTAGTTTCTATATTAATACTGTGAAAGCATCAAAGTGCTCAGTCCACAGAGAAATGCACACAGCCTGTATTCAGAAAATGAACCTTAAAACAAGCCGTCAAGACTTCTGTAACTTTGTGATGTCACAACAAAGCAGTCATTACTCTCAGCCATACCCCTGCCCCGCCCACCTGGACCCACCCTCCAACCTTGCAGGATTTGGTTTCTCTGAGGGTTTAATGTGAAATTAGCTATACTTTTATTCAATCAGGTCAGCCTGACCTGTTGTTACTAGAGCTCCAGAGAGAAGCCTGAGAGAGGAGATGTAAAACTACATTGAGATGGTTTTTGGTTCTTAAAACCACAAATATATCTTCTTATGGATCAACACTTCAAATAAAACACAGAAGAAGTATGGGAAATGGGAAATATGGGATCTTTAAAATGCTTGTGTTGGTCGAAAAAATAATTCAAGTTGCACTGTCTGGCAAACACCTACATGTCCTTGTTATGTGTTTTAAAATTTTATGCATGAGCTCAAGGATTTGAGAATTTTTTTGGCGTTCCTTGGTCAAGGTCACACCAGCAAGCTCAAAGCTGAAGTCAGGGTCAGTGTGTGTGTGTGTGTGTGTGTGTGTGCTTGTACATGTACAGTAGACCTTTTTATGCTCCTTTTCATATGTCTCTTGTTCATCTATACGCTCCCATGTGCCACACCACCACCACCGCACACCTGCGTGGCTGCCACCGTCTCTGCAGGGGGGATTATCTGATTGGTTCACCCGAGGCAAGTGACGGTTCACTCGAGGCGAGCGGTGTTTTACCATATCAAATATTCGTAACAGGTGACTCATGTCTGAGTGAGCGAATCCTCTCCGACACCGCTGAATGTGCTCTGTAGCGTCGTGCCTGAGTGATGAGGTCACTCCTCACTCTCCTCCTGCCTGACAGCGACTTTTCTTTCTGCTGCTTATCTGCTCAGCTCTGATCTTGTCGGCTGACTTCATTTTGTTCTGCGCTGCTCGCTTATCTGCTTCTTTCTTTCTCAGCCTCGTAAACAACATTTTAAGACGCACTGAACCGCCTTCAACATCCTGTTTTGAATGTCATTTATTATTAGGAATACTGTAAATATCCTTCTCATAGAGGTCATTGTAAAAAAATATCCATTCTTTACATATTTATTCAAATGCAAATTGCTGTGCAAGGAAAGCATTCTCAGGACCACAGAGAAAATTTGGGAATGCACAGTAAACTTTCGGGATGTGTCCTTAAACTCTAAACTTTCTGTTACACAGTATGACCTGAAGCACTTGGGCCTCTGGAGTCTCTCCAGATTTGGATCTTCTCCCGCTGAGTTCAGCTCAAGGCAACCAAGTTGCCCCCTGTGCTCTGTCTGGAGGTTTTTAAAATATGCAAATGAATCACTTAACTGTTTATCTGCCGTTTATCTTCTTTTTAATCTTTATCAAATGAACGAATTCGGACATAAACATGCAACTTAAATTTCATGATGTGAGACAATAAACAATTGTGGCTGCCTGGAGGTCAGAGAGGATAAAGAAACCGTCATGGTTTGCCATGGCGGACATTTTATGTTTGAATTTATGTTTGGACTTTTGTCACTTCCTGTTTTATTTTGTAGTGGTTTCCTTGTGTCTCGATCTTTGTAATTCCTGTCTTTGTGTTTCCCTTTTTGGTGATTGTCTGCCCCGCCCTAATGTGTTTCACCTGTGTTCAATCACCCTCACCTCCCTTGTGTCTATATAGTCTCTGTGCTCCCCTTTGTCTGTGTCGGTTCGTCTGTTCATGTCTGGTTTATCATGTCATGTCGCCTGTTGTTATCTCCTGTAATTGTCCTCGGTTTTACCTGCTGTTGTCGTCCCCTGTGTTTCCCCGTGCTTCAGCTTCTGTTTGGTTCGTTCCTTGTTTGTGTTTGTTTGCTTGTGTTTGTGTGTTGGCTGCATTTGGGTCCAACCTTAAACGCACCGTGACAGAAGCACTTGTAATTGGAAGAATGTTGTGTTTTTATCATAAGAATAGCAACAATAAATTGTATTTCTATAACATGATTTATGCAAAAATGCTCGAGTGTTTTACAAACAACTGATCATGGCAAATACGAAAAAGGCAGGATTACTTTAATAAAAAATGGAAAAATTAAAAAAAGAAGAAAAATATTGGAAGTTAAACACATTAAGAGAATGTAATAATAAGAAAATGTCTTGATATTTCCGGTCGACAAAAAATAGAGAGAGTGAAGTCAGATAAAAACCTCCCCTAAAACCACAAAGAAAAAATACTTGATGGAATTCTGAGAAGCTCTAAACTGTTCTTATACTTTAAGCAATAAAGTTCATTCAAAATGTTCAGACTCTTTATTACATTATTCCATAATTATGTCGGCTGGCTATTTTACTCAAACATAACACAAAAGAGACAAAAGACAAATGGAAACTCACAACAAGCTTGACATAAACAATGATACTGATATCATCATATATTTTATTTTGACACACTATTTGCTGTGTCATGTAGCAGCTTGTACGTCTGTAGCTTGTATTTTTGTCGATCTTTGTTTACTGGCAGCGCTGCAGACAAACAGGAGGTGTGCTCTATAAATTCGGGTTTTATTGAAGTGAAGCTTTAAATACTAGTTTTCACTGTGGCTGCAGGGGATGTGAACTGCAGGTAGTGACTGAGACTATAAAGTAACTTAGGTCCACATGACCTATGAGTAGTTTACCAGGGGTCAGACAACATGTACAAAAGAGATGGTCTGAGAGTTTTTGTATTCAGGGGGGACCAGTGCTGGTTTTACTCAGGGTCCTCAAACCCCCGTCATTCTGCCCCTGTGTTTGAGCGGAGCAGCATTTTGGGTCTGTGTTTACAGTTGTTGGTGAGCACCAGTGGAGTCCATGAGGCTTCACGCCTGCTTCACCAACACAAACCACAGGATGGTGAATGTGACCTCCATTTTGACTGGATGGATGAGTCTCTGTGTGTGTGTGTGTGTGTGTGTGTGTGTGTGTGTGTGTGTGTGTGTGTGTGTGTGTGTTTGAGTGTGTGTGTTTAAGAGAGAGAGAGAGAGAGAGAGAGATGATGTTTCTCAGCATGTCAACAGCTGAAATGATGCATGGCAGAGGCAGCATTTCTGCCACCTAGTGAGTGTTAAACTGCACTGCATGTTACCTGGAAGCCAGACAAACCTGATGAGATGATCACCAGAGACGTTTGGCTGTGAAGTGATGATGGCCAAAATCAAAACTTTGGTTATTTGCAACGTACAGAACCGGAACATTTTTATGACCACACCAGATTTCATCCAGAATTTTAAATAAAAATCTGTTGACTGGGCTTCACCAGTCCTGGCCATTTTCCAAAGCAGTACAGCTTTTGATTTTTAATGTGTTTTCTGACCTTTCAGACAAAGTCAAAATCACTTTTTTTAATTTGTTTTTTTGTTTTTTTTTTCCTACACATATTTTCACCGTCTGAGTTAAACACTGATTTAACTACATACAAAATGTCTTTGTCATTTTTCATAGAATCTAGTTCTTTTTGCCAAAAGAGGATGGATTATTAATTAATGTCTGAACCAAGATTTAACTGAGAGCTCAGAGTGCAAACATGACTAAACTATGGTTTTATTTTATTTATTTTTAAAATTTTTTTTAAATATACTAGTAAATTTACCTGTGACTCCCAAAAAGAAAATATTTGAGTCATATGCTGCCATTCATTAGCAAGCTAGGCTTAAGTTAAATACTTTGTCATCTGTATAACGTTGTAAGGAGCATTTTTGTGTTTTCCGTCTGATTCGTTTTTCTCGTATAAATGTATTTCTGCAGCGTTGACAGTTGCTGTCGATGTTCAAATCCTCCCTGTCCTCTTTCTTCTTCCTTTTATATGGTGCGTGAAAAAAAACAACTTTCCTTCCATAATGTGTTTGATCAGCTGATAAAGGTCTTCCTCCTCCTGTGTCGCTGCATCCTTGACATCACGTTATGGTTTTATTCAAACACTCTAAATGTTGCAGGATTTTTGACCTCCCAGATTTGAAGCTTGTGTTTGTGTTCGACTCAAGGCCGTTTTTTTTTTCTCTTTTTTTGAATTTCTTAAAAGCTTTTACGCCATCGCCCCCTGATATGTTAAGAAAAAACCCACTGAAACCTGTGGATTACGTCTGAAGAGCTGTACAAGGTTCTCACTCTTGAGAACTAGTTTGTTGTTGTGTTGTGTTGTGTTGGTCCTGAACCGAGTTTTGATATTTTCCAACATAAAAATAGTTCGAATTCATCCAAGGTTGTTCTGCTCCTCTCCCCTCCCCTCCCCTCCCCTCTCCCTCCATCTTCTCTCCTGTCCAATATCACATACATATTTAACAGCTGGAGTCAATGAAAGTCAAGACAGATTAAACTCAGAGATTCCTCTCCCTCGTTTCCATACCTCCCTGCTCAGCTTGTGCATATTTGAAAAATTTAAAAATCGAAAGATTAAATCAATTTTTCTGTCCTCAGGTCACCTCTTCTTTTTCACGTTTCATGTTTTTCATTTCATCCGACACTCTAATCTTTAAATAAATGAACTGAAAGTGTCCCCTGTTTTTTTTTTGTTCTTGTCTCTCGCCTCTTTGGTTTATTTATTTAATACAGAAATTATTTCGATGTTTTCTCCTCCTCTTGTTTTTTTTTGCGGCTGCTCCCTGCTGAAACATGATCGGTGTGATCACTTCCTTCGTCTCCACAGATGAGTTCGTTCAGCACGAGGGCCCTGACGCTGCTCTCGTCGGTTTTCGGGGCCTGCGGTTTGCTGTTGGTGGGCGTCGCCGTGTCGACAGACTACTGGCTGCTGATGGAGGAGGGGATCGTCCTGCAGCAGAACCAGACCACCGAGGTCAAGATGGCGCTGCACTCCGGCCTGTGGAGGGTCTGCTTCGTAGCAGGTCGGTTGAGAAGTTTCCCATTTGGTGACATTTTGATTTATCTAATGTGCTTTCCTGTTTGTTAATTTTACCAAAGTTTTTCATGTTCAAAATCTTATTTGATGCTAATTTATGCTGTGCGAATAATTTCATGAAACCCTCTTTGCACTGTATTAAAACCTCAGAAACAGCATCTCGACCAACATGTGAGGTTCAGGCCATTTTCACAGTGAGTTTGTTTATTGGAGGGTGATTGTCACTCTTTCATGCTGTTTATGTTCTGTCAATCTGCAGTTCACCTAAATGCATGTGGTGTAAAACTGTGGTCGTTTACCACCATTTCCTGGAGATGAGACTGGCACCTGTTTTCAAGGAACGCGGGACAAATGAAAAGCAATGTATGAGTCGCGTATGAGTTGAACCGGCCACATGGCCACATTTATGCTCAAAGTCCAAATTTAGTTTGCAAATCAGTGACGCATAAACTCTTTGTTTGCAAACCGTAGAAGCGTAACATCCAAAATAAAGGAGGCCATTATATCAGCTGAGTGTTGCATCATCCAGTTTTACATGTATGCAACCAGGCTGTCCTGGACATCGACTGGTTGCAAGCGATCATGAAACATGGGTCAACAGTACAATTATGTCAACTTGAATTAACTTACTATCCACTGAAGCACTTCCTCAGCGTACCACAAACACCCCTCAATGATACCCTCTTTAAAGTAGCCATTTATTTACCAATCTTATTTCACTCTTCTCGTCTCTTTGCAAGAACGTACTTAGCCGTTAGCTTCGCCGCGCTGCTCGATGTGGTCACCAGGCACAAACAGTGACAGATTACTGCTAATCATAATCATATCATCAAGATATGACAACATGAGTTTGATTCCTGTGGAAGTACAGACCACGTTCTACATGCAGACAGACTTTGTCTCACCAGAGTCTCACAGGAACAATCAGACCACTTTGTTCAGGGAGAACCAGTTCAGAAAAAGCAATATCATTCACATGACCATTATACTGCAAATCCGCGACCCCACCATCACATCTAATGTTGGATTAATATGATTTTAATATAGCTTTTTGATATGTTTTCAAATCAGAGTTTATAAATCGTGAGAGTAGTGAGTCACCCCCGGTTGAATTTTGCCTTTAAAGATCATGGTTCTCCAAAAACTGTTCATTCATGCACACATCCGAACACAGGACACCACAGATACAAATAACTGTCCTTATTGCAGTAGCTGTCTCTGTGTTTCGGGTCATGATGGTGTTGCTCTGGGGAGGCGGCCATATTTGTGTTTCCCTGTTGTCGGAGGCCTGGTACAAAAGGTCAGAGGAGGGGAACGCTGGTGGCATTTGGAACAACTGTGTGCGTGTGTGTGTGTGTGCGTGTGTGCGTGCACGCGCGTGTGTGTGTGTATGTGTGTGTGCGTGTGTGGACCTCACAGTCAACCCGGCAGAGGCACGGTGCAGCAGCATTATTACATATAGTAAAATTATACTTAATACATAAACAGGCTTCTCTGAAAACTGTCCTTCACGCTGCAGTGAACTGTCATCCACTCATGGCTCTCTGTGACATAACCCCCTGCCTCCGTCTCTGTGGAGGTCAGGGGGGGTCAGGCGAGAGGGAGCTTCTCTCTGAGCGCTTTTCAGTCTTCACTTTGGGTGCGGGGCTTTAAAATTCCCTAAGCCTCATAAGGATTGAACCCAAACACCTTAAACTTTCCAAACAGTCCTCGGACACCATGAGCTCAAACATTTGAGCCTTTTTCCTTGAACCTTTGAATGTTTACTTTAGGTGCTGGACTTGTAAATTCACTAGATCCTGAAAATTGAACCCAAGACCTCAATGAATCCAGAGTATAGTCCACTTAGTCCCTGAGATAGTTGCCTAAGGAATAAACCCACAACCTCGAAAACATCTGTATGATCCCATTCCCTTTCCACGGCCACCGTGACACAAAGGCTCTGAGAAACAGAGCTCCTGTGGTTCAAGGTGTCAGAGGACGGTTTTGAACTTGTGTGTGTGTGTGTGTGTGTGTGTGTGTGTGTGTGTGTGTGTGTGTGTGTGTGTGTGTGTGTGTGTGTGTGTGTGTGTGTGTATAAGCAAGAGAAAAATCATGTTTGTCTGTCCATGTATGCATCATCCTGTTATTTTTTTTATAGACGTCTGTTTTGTGTTTTATGTGTATGGTGTGTGTGTGTGTGTGTGTGTGTGTGTGTGTGTCCTCTCTCTCTCTCTGTGCCTACAGTGTGAGGTTAATCATTGTGTCTGTATTCAGCTCCTCTCTCTCTCTCTCTCTCTCTCTCTCAGCTCAGACCTTGTTTTCTCCTGAACCTCCTGCCCTCCATCTGTCTCTACCTCTAATTCACTTTCCCCCTCTCACTTCCATTTCTCGGCTTTCCTGTTTTTCTCCATCTTCTCTTTTCGGGGGTCCCTCTGCCCTCTGTCACCTCTCTCATGATTCGTCCTCTCTCTAAATCTCCTTGTTTGTCGCCCCTGTCGCTCAGCCTTGGCCTCGCTGTCTGCTCTCTGTGTTTTTTAACCTCTCTTTCATTGGTGTTTTTTTTTTATTTTTATTTACTCTTGTTTTATTTCCACATACAAATGTTTCCTTATTGTTTGTGACCCAAAAGACAGCCCAGATAGCTTCCACCCAATCATCCCTTCATTCTTTCTTTCTTACTCTTTTCACTTCTTTTTCTCTCTCAGGGCCTGAGAAGGGCAGATGTGTGGCGTCAGAATATTTCACCGAGCCAGAGATCGAGATCACGACAGAAAATACAGCCAATATACTCAGTAAGTCATCAGCATCCGTAGATCAAATACACAGACATATGATCACGTGTCTACAGTCAGTTATATTCAGTGGAAATATTTGGCCATTATTTACCCCTAGCTGTTTTGGAAAAAGTAGGTTTCACCACTTATAAAAAGAGGATTATGTTTTATTTATTTCATTGGAATAAATGCTGCTGCTGTGACTGTTACCATCAAAAACCTGCTTCTGATCAAGAACCAGCAACGTGTGACGGAAGCAAATACAACATCACGTTGAACAAATCGGTGCCATTGCGTACTCAGACATGTGTTCTTATTACATCTATTTAACCTTAAACTCTGCAACTCCCACAAAGGTCCACAACGAGACGCAACCATTGCAGAACGTTGCAGAGGTGTGAATGAATCGAGGGTTTTGGTTCTTAACTCAGTTTGAAAAGCCAGTGTCTGCACATCAGTCAAAAAACATATGCTTACAACTGATTGCTATAGTTAGTTCACTTGGCGACAACAAGTGGTGTACACAAAGACGTTGTTATGGAGACATTAGTGCTGTTGCGATGTTGATCACTGTGTAGTTTCACTGATCAATGTCAATGAAACAATCAAGCTAAAAAATTATTCTCATCGTTGGAGAAGAAAAAGAGAAAAAAAACCAAAACAGACTAAAGACTGGCAACTATTTTAACCTCCATCAGCTTCTTTTTTACATGGACTTCAAGCTTGTTAGCTGAATAAAGTTTATATATATATAAGTTTATACGTTTTATGTCTCCATCAAAGTTACAAAAACATGAGCAGTGTGTAAAAGCTACGAAACATTTTCACAGTTGTAAACCTAAAGAGCCACAGTTTACCACTTTGATTTTTTGGGTTTTCGGTTCCTCCCGAAATGTTTAGAACAATTCATGTATTTTCACTGAACTATGCATGCTCAGTTTCTGATGTTTAAAACCTGCAGATTCTGTATTTCTCCCAGTGTGTCAGGGGGGAGGTCAGCCTTAATGAGGATCAGGTGTCACTGATCGTCTCATCAGGCCACATCTACACACTCCACTCCTGTCTGCTTATGCAGAAACACACAGTCTCCTGTTACTCTAACTGCTATTTTTTTTTTTTTATATTTAAATACAATATTACTAAACATAAAGTAAGTAATGTGTAATCTGTTAACTATAATGATACCAAAAGCAGCTCTGGCAAAAGAATCAGTGAAGAACCATATTTATTTTTAAAGAACTTTTTTTTTTTTTTTTCTCAAACAGTAAATTAACGTCGAGAGCACGCTGAATTTCCCCGCGGAGCTGCTTCGTCTTTGAGCCATTTTTAATGATTTAAGATGTTGACACTGGCTTCAAAGTGCCCCCCCCCACCCCACCCCCTCCACACTTTGTTCCGTCTCTTTGAAGTAAAGCTCAGACTCGTGTTGGAGACACCGGAGGGAAGACATTTGGTCCATTTCACGCAAGACAAATGTCCTCAGGTAGATGCACAAATCATAACACTGTAGTGGCACGGTGGGAGAGATTACTGAGTAAATCACACACCGCCGTGCTCAACATAACCCTGAGTGAGCTCCAGTAGACCTCTGGGTATAAGTATGCAGTGGAAGTTCACACGATACCTGGGTGTATTTGCACATCCATTGTGGATTTGCTGTAGTATAATTTTCCACATTTACTTGTTCTTCAAAAGATGAAACACTGAGGATGTTTCAGTATCTCCAATTTTCTTGTTTCTGGAAATTAAAATAAATGTAACCTTGCAGTTTTAGGCAGCATCCACACTACTACGTTTTAGTTTTAAAACAGATCACTTTTGCTAATTTCACGCCTGGTGTCCACACTACTCCAGAGAAGGGAGAGTTTTGGAAACGCTGCTGCATCTTCTAGTTTGAAAACTAACTGCTGTTATGTTGTACTCTGGACCAACAGAAACTGAGACCTTTGGAAACGATGATGTAGACACCCATGTCCACTTCCTGATTGGGTCTTACCAGCCTCAACTACATGGTGAAAGCAACATGGATAACAAAATACAAGCGTTACTGACCTTGTTGTTTTTGCTAGCAGCTGTTGCGCAGTTAAATTTCGCATTTTAATGCTACAAATTCGTACAGTGTTTTAAAAGGAAAACGTAGCAGTGTGGATGAAGTGAGCCTTCTGATTGGTTCACGACAGGTCAGTGAGTTTGAGATGGTTTTTGGGTCTTAAAACCACAAATAAATCTTCTTATGGATCGACACTTCAAATAAAACACAAGAAAGTGTAAAATATGGGACCTTTGAGTTGATTAGTTGATTCACTGGAAAGTTTCTCAAGGTTTCAAGTTTTACAGTACCAGAGACAACTCCTTCAAGGTGGAAATTGTTAAAACACCTGCCAGAATGATTTTGACACTGGTCTACAACGTATCTATCTTCTTTTTCATTCATGTATTCATCAATATTATTCTAATGCTAATCTCTGCATGATTGTGTTTTTAATCATGTCTTTGTCCCCCCTACCCCACCCCTGTCCTCCAGAAATGGTCCGAACCGCCACTCCCTTCCCCATGATCTCTCTGCTCTTCGTCTTCACCGCCTTCGTCATCAGCAACATCGGACACATCCGGCCGCAGCGCACCATCCTCGCCTTCGTTTCTGGAATATTCTTCATACTGTCAGGTGACGTTGCAGACGCAAGAGCATGCACACTACAAACACTACAAAGACAGTGAGTGTGAGGGGGGGTTTTTATGTGCTCAGTTTAGAGTTGAAAGACGTAAATAAGACAAAATCCCCTGCGCAGTTACAGTTGTTCCCGAGGTGTAACAGCACTCAGTTCACACAGGCCCTGTTGTTGTGCATGGAAACGAGGTTTGCAAACAAATCAAAAACTAGCACAACACTAATTTTATACTCTTGTAGAACAACCGCAGACTGCAGGCTTTTCCTGTCACGGTTTGTTTCCATATTTTCCAATTATTCTCCTGTGTCATGTAGTCATCGCAAAGCAGCCTGGGAGACGAACCTCAGCACGCTGCTGTCGGAAAATCTGTGGAAGGAAGGTCTGCGGAGAGTAAAAATATTTTAGAGCAAAACTAAATGTGATACAAGCTGTAAATTTATGCAAAACGTAAAATCAAGTGAGCTCCAGCCAGCTAATAGGACAGATGCAGCTCCTCTGAGGAATATTTTTTCTTGCATTTTGGCTGGACGTCACGCAAAGGTTTATGATCAAGTGATTAAACCTGACCGTGAACTCTCCCAGGCTGCTCTCAGGTCAGACTCGCCTCACTTTAAATTGCAAGCTTCGCAGTTTGGCGTAATGATGGCGAGGACTTAAAACTCGTTCCAACTTCTCTAGATAAAAAGGCTTTAGGAAGGCGTCACATCAGAGATTTGAGAATCGCTGAGGTTACAGTTTCTGCAGTTACAGTTTCACCTGATTGTCCTGAAACTCTTTTTTGCAACTGTTTTTTGTTTTTCACGTCCCGCAGCAACACCAGCAGTTTGGAGCGCCTGAGCTCTTTTGTGTGTCGTCCTTGATAATCAAAAGCCATCACAGCCACACGTTATATGACCACAATATATACTATAATGATGAAAACACCTTGCAGACTTAAAAAGCTAAAGTTATCTCACAGCAATGAAGTTAAATGTAATTCCATCAGTGCCACGTGTGAAAAACTGTGTCCAGTCCATATCTGTAGATGACAACATAAGCATTAGAAATCCCAGTAATGCATTGACAATGATTTGGAAGTCAAAACACATCTAGATACAGTAGATCAAAAGCTAAAAGTCTAATTCAAACAGTCAAACCATTTGCATCAGTAAATGCATTTTTCCAGATTAGCTTTCAGTCACTGTCGACAGGTTTCATCAAGGCCTGCAAACCAAAGCATGATTAACATTTTTTATGGTTATGTTTGTGCAAGTCAAAGCATTTGGTAAGGTTTATGAAAGACTGTGGTCTTTCTTATTATATAACCCGGTGGTTCTCAAACTTTTTCACATCAAGGACCCTACACTGACACAAATTAGACCACTGACCCCGTCTGATAAGATTTGTGCTTTTATATGTGTGTTTAAACCCCATGACCAAAATAGTCATACCTTCTGTCATTGTGTTACTTATTGATGGAATTATAGTGTAATTAAAGTATTCCCCTTTTTGCTGGGGACCCCCAGGAAACCCCTCAAGGACCACTGGGGGTCCCTGAACCCAACTTTGAAAACCATTAATATAACCAATAACACGGGAAAGGTTCAGCAGACTGCAGATACATGTCTCATTCTCAGTTCCCTTTTTTTTTTTTTTTTTTTTTGCATGGACATAAAGGACAAAAGGACCATTTGTGGTGGAAAACAAATTTGGTAATAAGTTTGCAGTATTAAGGTATTTTTTAAATTTTGTGCAGATAATTGTTACCCGGCACTTGCGAAGAATTGGATGAGATGAGACCCTTTGACTTATTCAGTATGTACTTTTCCCCAACCGCAAACTCTTTCAGGAATCTAAACCTAACAGCGTGTCAAAAACTGTGGTCTGTGGTCAGTGCAACCACCCAGTCCAACATCCTCTTCATCACTTCAGTACAGGTTAGGGAGTCACACTTTGTCAGGCAGCAGTTATATTTCTTCCTAAGTGTCTTGTATAGTGTAAATCAGTCATGTACAGAAATGTGATCAGTAGGACACAAAGAGAAAAGAAAACTTGCAGGATCGAGTCCTGTCTGTCAGAGTGATGAAACTCTTTGTTGCTTAAACAGTCATTGCTGCAAGGACCTTGTGAAAGCGACAGACCCCTGATTCATCAGGACTACAGAAGCAGGCAGTAAGAGGGAGGTATAGTATAAGGATCAAACTCCTCAGTCGCCCGTCGGCTTAAATAAGGTGTTAAAAAGCAGCAGAGCAGAAGAGAAGTTGATAAAAGTCAACATTCTTCAAGGTTAATGATAAGGAGACAGCTCAATGGAAGGGAGACTCTGCACCTCTTCTCTCCTTTTCCCAGCTGACAGCTTGTCAGACTTTACCTTGTTCTTGCTGGTGGCTGAACAGTGAATGGGATTTAATTCCGAATAATTGCTCTCTGCCGAGGAAGCCGCAGGGCACTCGTGATATATTTCACTGCAGGTTAAAAAAAGTTTCAACTTAAACCAAACAGTGCAGACTTTATTGTAGTTTGACATTTCAATCAGAAAGTCTTTAATGAGGAGGCTGGTTCTCTTCAGGTTGACACCTTTTTGGTCTGGGCTGAAAAAATCTCCCATAATTTCACTGCAGTAAATGGAATGGACACGAACCTTCAGTGCAGTCAAATTCTATTCCAGCCACGTAGCTGAGAGCCTCAAGTGCTGAGTGGAAAGTTACTGGATGAAATGTTTGATCGCATTTATTCTTTTATAGACCCACATGGGAGTCTATTAAACAAAGAGAGAGAGAGAGTATTCTTCAACTGCACATCCATCCAAATAATTTTGTCCACACAAACATTAAGACTGTTTGATGGTCAGTTAGGTCCCAGTGTAGTTGAGAAAAAAGATATCTGCAGGAAAACCCATCACAGCCAGAAGATGCAGTCTGAAACTGTTGCTACAGACAAACAACAATATCTCTTATAGGTTAACATACAATACCTGTCAAACTGAACATTGTAAACACATTTGTGAGAGTATGAAGGAGTACACACTAGCCAAAAAAAAGCCCTCAATGAGCTATTTGTAAGTTTTGCTATTGCTACATAGCTAATGTTAGCATTAACAGCTGTTTACTCACCAGTCTAGAAGAAACATTGCGAGTTCAGCATCAAACATTTGTCTTTAGCTTCTATTTCTTTTACTTTGTTTCTTGTACTGAAGTTAGCATGCTAACCAGCTAGCTCGTCCTGTCTCATCACTTTCTGATATAGCATCCAGGCTGCCCTGAAGAAGTTGCGATCCTCAGAGGACGTATTATAACCTCTTGTCTTGTAAACATAACGATCGCCGAAGCTCTTGTGAAGCGACAATCACCACTACAAGGTCCCGGCAAGAAACCAGTTTCAGCAGCAGAGAAAACGTACAAAAAATAGCCCTTTTAAGGTGCAACATTACAACAATGTAAAAGCACAGTACATTCTGACAGGAGTACTGTATTTTGCTTTATTCCAGCTGTGTACGAGAAGGTTGCTGCAGCAGTGACTATACATGTGCATAAGTATCATGTATTGATGATGCTTCTACTGTGGCTGTACTAGGATGTCACAATTGTAACTGACTGATGAATTCAAGGTTAGTTGATGTTCAGTGACAGAGCGAACTACAAACTTTTCATAGCCACCACTCAAGAACTACAGGGATGGGGGGGGTGTTTGATAGATTTTAGGTTGAGTACCATTTGCGCTACCACTTTCAGAATTGTTGCAACACATGACTCCACTGATCTGCTTACTTTAGGCCTGAAGTCAAACCTGGCTTACAAAAAAAAAAAAAAAAAAAAAAAAAAAAAAAAACATCTCTCTCAGAACAAAGTCATTATCCATCTTCTTGTTTCAGTCATGGTGAATGAATAAACAAACTCTCCCCCTGTAGTGTTGCTGAACCGAAGCTGTGAAATCCTGTGTCTCATTTCTATCAGAGTCCTGTTGGGAAGCAGAATAACTGCAGCCAACAGGGTGGCGTCACCTCCTCATATTGCTGCGAGACAGCTGGGTGAGGTTTCCGGACGGTTACCTCGAGTACAGGGTCGAGCGTTCAGCTGATGAAGTAGTTGTTGGGATTTTTTTGAACCTTGTTAGTCTCCCTCTCTGTCTCCGAGCAGACAGGATGACATCATCCTCCTTTTTTTTTTTTTTTTTTGCATGAGGGAGCTTTACCTCACAGATGCTAGCTTAGCATGGTGGACTGCTGACTGGACGCTTGGACGGTCATGACAAACATGATGTCATAGGAATGTCACAGGGCCAAGGTGGAGATGAACGCATGCACGCACATACACACACACACAACGTATATACAAAAAAACTAGCCATGCAAACACACACTAGAGAATTAGAATTTGAACTCCATATTATTCTCTTCTTTATATTTCATTTATTTTGTTATATATTTTTATTTTTTATATTTAATTTTGTTGTATATTGGAATGTTTTACGTTTATATATTATATTAGTATTATCGTCATTGTATTATTTATTTTATTATATCTAAAAAATATATATTATTATGAAAAAATCACATGTAAGGACGTGAATTTCAGGCATTTCAAATTTGAAGATTTTACACTAAATATTATTCTTGAAAAAATATTTAACACGTGATAGTGAATTTCATACAGTCGTGTGGTTTTTGGACATTCCACATGTAATGAAAAATTACATTATATAGGGAATTGTTGTTTTGACAGAAGAAGAATTTATATTTCGATGGCTTATTGAAAATTGACAAAAATGTTACTAGTATGAAAAATGGTATAGATTGTACCAGACTTTGGCAAAAGTATATTACAAAGATGTGAGCGCATTATTCTTTTTTTTCTTTTTTTTTAAAGAAAACACAAGAAGTAATTTCAACTACCAGTAATTGTTCAGCAGCTTCTGAGAGGAGAATAAAAACCTGTTTTCTGTCAGAGATTTCTGTTTGACAGTTCACTGAGCCCAGAAATCGATGGACAGCATTTCACCTCTGAGATAACTAAATGACAACATTTAAGCTGGATGTTTATTCCAATAGTTGTGTTTTTTGTGTTTGTTTTTTTTTCTTTTCTAGTTGTTTTGTTAAAGAGTTTGTTTTCCAAAGGCAACGCTGCAATTATTGCTCACACAGCAGGGGAGTCGGAGACAAACACAGAAATGAATGCTGCTTTAAAATCATGACACATGATTTTGCAGCAGAAACTGCACTGCCTGTCTCAGTCAGCCTTTGTGTATATTTTTGTCATGAAAACTGCCCATCAGTCGCAGAGCGCCCCGAGGTTCTAACATGGTGGCTGTGGACCAGCTGTTTCCTCCTGTCTGTCCTTCCTCCAGTGATTTCTCTCCTTTCGTTCTCTCTCTTTTTCTCCCTCTCTGGTGTTTTTCCCCCTCTCCCTCTGTGAATGTGTGTCTGTGTGTGTGTGTGTGTGTGTGTGTGTGTGTGTGTGTGCACGTTCATACACACGTGGTCCCCACACAGTATGGCCAGGAGGCTGCTGCTGCTGAGATGAGCATTCAGCCACAACACTGCCATCTCATGGCAAAATAGGGGAATTACACCTTTCTGGTTTTTTGTTTTCCTCCTATATTTCACTTCTCATTTCCCCATTTCTTGGCTTTCTGTGCTTCCACTGTTGAACAACAATGTCTCCTCTCCCATATCTCAAATAAAGAACAGAACTAATAACATTAAAAACAAAAAGAGCCCAGAAGCACGACTAGGTACCGGAAGTTTCAATCACTTTTCGTGTTGTCCAGCCATTTCCTGCTCTGTAATTTTGCCTTTAACTTAAAGGTGAACAAATTTATTCAAGTCATTAAATAGACAGGCAGACCACACAAGATACACATTTTACATTTAAAACATTTGTTTAAGCTTACATGTAGAAATAATAAAACAATGTAAACTGCAGTCATATGTCAAAAATTAAAGGAAAACAAAGAACACAGGAAAATGTTTCCTCCATCGTTTCAATCCAACAAATCTGCTGCCGTCTGCTTCCTGAAGGACTACGTGTCTCCTGCTTTGATTAGTCCCATTTTGCACAGCTGTCACACCAAACAGTCTCACTGCTGAACAGGTATTTCCAATCAGGACCAGATGGTGCTCTACTAATCTGTTTTCAGATGAAGCTTCTCTGTTTGGTAAAACACCAATCACTTGTCTTCCTACATTCTTTCTGTAGATCGCGTCTGCAGGCGTTTCTGTATGCCTGGATTAGGATGTCGAGTATAAAGCTTAGTTTACGTGTACACCTCTCTTGAGTAGGTTCTGAATCCAGCATACAGTGTAAACATATGGCCAAATCAACACTACAATGGGGCCCAGGAACAGAATTCTTGTGGGGACCCCATTAAACCTCAATTACTTACTACAGTGCACATGTGCCCATCGCATACAGTGTACAAAGCATTATCCCAACTTTATTTTTCCTAGATATCCAAAGCCTGCTGTGCTGAAATACCACCTGGCCCCAAGTTTGCTGGATGTCAGTTCATTTGTGGTCATTTTAAAGACGAATTTACATGGGAATATGCACCACTAAAGGGTTTGACACTATATTTGTACCCCTCTTTGAGGAAGGGCCCCTCAAATTAGGTGATAATTTATAACCCACTTTAAGGAATGTATCATTTTATTTGGCATGGTGCTGTAGAGGTTGGTAGTCGTCCAGTAATCCAACCCTGATGACTTGTTGCATAGTTGGCGTCCCTCTTCCTTATCCTTTAAACTGAACTGCATATCTCGCGCACATATTTACACATATAGTCTTCTTTATGTTACTTTTCCGAAGATGCCGTAGCTCCTATTGTATATACAACCAGTGTAGCAATGAATTTATTGTTTGGGGCTACATTTGACCCATTGATGGTTCCAAACCTCTGTATAGTTGGCTGTATAGTTCTTAAAATCTGATTTATCTGATTGTTACGAAAAACGTTAACTGCTCGTAGCAACCACTGCTGTCACCACCGCACCACTAGCTATCGAGAAAGGAGACAATTGCCATGGAATCATAGTAATTCAATTCAGGAAAGGGGCTTTGCCAGATCACAAAATATGATTCATAATCTGTGTCCCAATTCAGGGGGCGCATCCTTCAGAGGCTGCATTTGAAGACTGATTGCTTCACAGTGGCGTGACCAGGCTGTCCCATTTCGAAGTTTCCTTCAAATGCGTCCTTCTTCTCCTGGGCAGCCAAGGCTCCAAAATGTGGATCCTTCATGGCCCAACCTATCCCAAGATTCATTGCGTGCTGGTAATGAAAATAATATGGCAACAAACAACGCCGCAAGCCCGAGGATTACACTTTTAACCCTGACCCAACCCAAACTCTAAAGTATTGAGTTGCAGCTCACTTCAGCATCTAACAGTACAAGTGTTAAAACTAAGGGCTTTAAAACGTCATGGTTGCTAGGCGACAAGAGCCATACTTTGCGACATGACGGTAAGGGCAGGCACAGCTGGTGACGCAAAGCGGAAAATCCTCCGTAGGCCAGATCGTCTCAATATGGTTCAGCCTTCGTGGTTTATGGCGGCTACAAAGGGCCACACCTTCATAGACTGCGTCCCCTGAAGGATGTGGCCCCTGAATTGGGACACAGCTATAGTGTTCCTAAAAAAACAGATATAGTCTAGTCAAAGAGGAACCAGCAGCAGTACAGGCTGACTAATCACAGCCCTTGTGGTTTTCATGTTGTATCTCAGTGACCCAGACATGTAGCTACATTTTTAAGGAGGGGCACATCAGCTTTGCAGAGCCGCCGAGCCTCTGCGACACCCTGACACAGAGGCTTAAATCCAGCTTAACACATTTTTGTAAAACTCGGCCGGTGTTTATTTATGTTGTTCCTGTCTGCACAGTGTTGTATGTTTTTAATATCAATGGTGCTTTCAGGAGGTTTTCAAAGGGAAGCATCTTTGCTGTGTTTAGTGTGTCAGAGTTTCAGTGCTGGAGGATTTTGGAGGTCAGCTGCAGTGGTTAGTCTGTCGACAGGGGAGGAGGCACTGACACACTCCTAATGAGGATTCACTGTGTGTGTGTGTGTGTGTGTGTGTGTGTGTGTATGTGCGCAAGTCAGTGAGGACTTGTATGGTTTAGTGTGTATCTGCATTTATGTGTGTCTTGTGCACTGATGTTTCTGTGTGTGTGTGTGTGTGTCCTTGTTTATCTCTTTACCACAGCGCAGCCTGTTGTTGGGAATTTCTCAGCCTATTTACAGTACAACCAGGACACGTTATCATTAGCTATTCCAGCTACACAGACACACACACACATACATGCAAATACAAAGAGACTAAAGGCCCATTCAGATAGGATTATATTACAGGGTAATGCTCCTCTTTGGTTGTCCAGTTGTTTGTAGTTCTCATTCTCTCACTCCTCAGTTGGTTGAGGCCACTGTCGTCTTCAGTGATCTTTAGCGGGCTGTGACACGCATCCTGCCTATGGATGAGCCTGTTCATGTGTTAGCCCATCCAGATCCACCCCTCACATTTCGCTCCTGCCTCTTGAAGGGTGTATTTGCATCTGCCCCACAACACTTAGTTGAAGCCTGAAAGAGTGATCCAATAGTGGCCAGGTTTCATGGCAGAAAGGCATTAAAACATCCAAACGAACTTCTCAGAACATTATCTTCTCCTGTGCTCATACTGTAGGTGCTCAGTATGGTCCAAGCACTTTCAACCCTCGTGCACAACTTTGTACATTAGAAAACCCACGTTGTGCTCTGCAGGAGAACTGCACAGTTCACTCAGTGTGATCAGACAGGGTTCAACCATACAGACGAGCAGAGCAGCGTTGTCCAGTTGGCACTGAAGGGTTGTTGTCATCTGCTGCAACTGTACAGTCTTCTTCTTTAGTGGAACAAAAAATCAATACACTGTGTAAAGGAGGAAGCTTAAAGTGAGGTGGGAAGGACTGAAAGTAACAGAAAATAGTCACCATCTTAGCTTAGAACTGAAAGACTAATTCCATACTATATAATCAGTGGTAACTCAAACACTCTTAGAACCACTGATGTTATCTTTCATGTAGGGTATCTCAGGCGGATCACACACTTTATATGGCGTACACACAGGTGAATAGGATGAGGCTAATAAAGTGAATAGGCCTACTGATTACTTGTTTCTGTATCCATATGAGGAGAATATTTGATGCTCAGAATTCTCCCTCCCTGGTCAGCGCCAAGACAAGACCTCCTAAGGTGGAACCTGTACCTGTAATAAAAGATTTCTGTGTGTGTGTGTGTGTGTGTGTGTGTGTGTGTGTGTGTGTGTGTGTGTGTGTGTGTGTGCGCGCGCCCACAGGTCTCAGTCTGGTGGTGGGTCTGGTCTTGTATATCTCAAGTATTAATGATGAGGTGATGAACCGACCCAGAGAGCCGGAGCAGTTCTTCCACTACCACTACGGCTGGTCCTTCGCCTTCGCCGCCTCCTCCTTCCTGCTCAAAGAGGTGATCCACACCACACACACACACACGCACACGCGCACACACACGCACACACAGACACACACACACACACACACAGACACACACACACACACACACAGACACACACACACACACACACAGACACACACACACACACACACAGACACACACACACACACACACAGACACACACACACACACACACAGACACACACACACACACACACAGACACACACACACACACACACAGACACACACACACACACACACAGACACACACACACACACACACACCCACACACACACACACAAACGTACATATGTAATCGTGCATGAACATGCGAGTATACTGCGTGTGCATAAGCACTATCTAGAAATGCACACAGATAGCACAAGAATGCGTACAACACATACAAGTGATCACATTGCACAAAATACACACACACACACACACAAACGTACATATGTAATCGTGCATGAACATGTGGGTATACTGCGTGTGCATAAGCACTATCTAGAAATGCACAGAGATAGCACAAGAATGCGTACAACACATACAATTGATCACATTGCACAAAATACACACACACACACACACACACACACACACACACACTCACACACACTGCAGATGCACCCAAGTAAACACAACAATACACACCGAGCAGTTCACAGTGACACTAATGTGTCTTGATGCTTAACATTTACTGATGCTACGCAATTGATAAAAGACTTAATGTGCACAGACACACACACACACACACACACACACACACACACACACACACATAGTTTGTTTGGAATCTGCCTTGGATGTCGACCAACCGCCATTTAAAAAAACACACTCCACCATGTGCACAAACACAGATACACACAAACTGCTTGTAGCTTGCTTAAATACAGACTTATTCAGCTAAACACACACACACACGCACACACACGCGTTTAAAAAAGTGCCTGCGTAGGAGCCCGTCATCCTGCCTGCATCAATATTCATAAATGTTAATAGCTTGAATACTTGAGGGCAGCAGCTCTGTCGCAGCACAGCTTCATATGCATCAGAATATTCCTCGCTGGGAGTGGGAGGGGTGGAGGGAGGACTCTCCTACTCCTCCTCTTCTATCTTTCTCTTCATCACTTTGCTCCTCGTCTCCTCATGTCTCTCCTCTCTCTCTCTGTCCTCTACTTTTATCTCATCTCTTCTTCTTCTTCTTCGTTTATCTGCGGCTCTTTAATCCTCTGTTGTCCCGTCTCCTCTCTCCTTCTCTTATCTCCTCCGCTCTCCTCCCCTCTCCTCTCGCCTCCTGTCCTTTCATCTTATCTCCTCTTTTGTCTCTCCCTCCTCTCCCACTTCATCTTCCTCCTCTCTCTTCTCCTCTGCCTCACTCAAACCTACAGTTCTCTCTCTACTTCCTCTGTTGTCTTCCATTTTCTAATCCTGTTTTCCCTCCTCCTCCTCTTCTCTGATCTTTTTCCCTCATCTCCTCTGTTCTCCTCTCATCATCTGTCCTCCTTATATCTTGTCTCCTTGTCTGATCCCATTCTCCTTTTCTCTCATGTTCCCTTCCTCAATCCCCTGTTCTCCTTTCCCTTTTCTTTATCTTTTCAAATCGCCTTCTAGTCTCCCTCTTTTCTTGTTTTCCTCCTCCATCTCCTCTTCATTATCTTCTCTCATTATTACTCTTTATTACTCATTTATCCTTTTATGTATTTCCTCATTTCATTGCTTGCTTATTTTTTTTCTTTTATTCCTTTGTCTTTTTCTAATCATTTGTCCCGTTGTTTTATTTTCTTCTTCTCTTATCTTCTATGTTCTCCCTTTTTCCCCTCATTCCCTTTCTTCCCTCCTCTCACTTTCCAATAAAATTACCTCATCTTCCTCCATATTTTTTTCATCTTGTTCTTCCGCATCTCCTTTTCTAAACCTCTGTTCTCCCTTCTGTATTTTTCTTTTCTCGTCTCCCACTTTCCTTATTTTCCCCTCTTCATTTTCTTACTCAACAAACAAAAAAAAAACTAGACTCACCCTCCTCTTGGTGCCAAGTTGTGGGAAATACGGTCACAATCTCCCCTTCCTGAGTTACAGCATTGAATAACGCCCAGAGGTGTTTTTTGCAGAACGTTATGATGTCACCGTGAAGTTGACACACGTCCTCACTTCATTTTATCCTTATAGATATTTGAGTTAAACCGTATCATAATTAGCTAATGAATTCATAAGTTATGGCCAAAGACATGTTTTGTGACATCACAATGACCTTCACCTTTGACCTTTTACCACCAAATTCTATCCACTTCATCCCTGAGTCCAAATGAATGTTTGTGCCAAATTTGAAGAAATTCCCTCAAGGTGTTACTGAGATATCGCCTTCATGAGAATGGGATGGACGGACGTATACAGACAATGGTAAACAATGGTATCTCCCTTTGGTTAACCAGAAATGGCTCGTCATGGGGTCAGTGATGTGCCTATATATTCTAGATAAAGCTGGCAGGTTTTCAGAAAGGCTATATGTGATCTTTTCAGGAGGAATACAACTGTTCACGTTGTCGGCCATCTAACCACCTAATCTAATTAATTAGTTGAGGATCTGCTGACATCTGTGAAATTCACCAATGGGCAAAGTTCAGAGTCTAATGAGAAGATAACTCCCGTGATCTCGGTCAAGGTGTCACAGAAGCGCTTCACCTTTGTACAAAGCCAGGTACAGCGCAGGAATGAGCTCTCGACCTCTACACCACATCCGAAGCTCATTTCTGACAAGTCAGGTTTGGATTTTGTTCATTTCAGTGGGGTGAGGTGTAGTTGATGAAGAAAGCGGAAGAACCATTCTGTACCCGGCATTAATAATAATCAAATCTGATTCTAGATTTTCTTCTTTTTTATTTATCTCCTCCTCTAATCCTCTGTTCTCTTTCCATCCTCCTGTTTTCTCATCCTTTCATCTCACCTGCCTCCTTTCTTTTCTCCCGTCTTCTCATGCCTGGCTTTATCTCTTCACTCTCTTCCCTTCTTCTTCTATTTCTTCTTCTTCTCTTCTTCGACTCTGCACTAGAGCTGCAAAACACACATTTGAAAACATACTGTTTCTCCCTCACAAACACACACACACACACACACACACACACGTTCATCTGCATTCTCAAGTTTCAGGGCTGTTGTAGCGATGATGTTGTGGATGAATAGTGAATGAGCTGTGAATGCTCAGCGGATGCGCGGGTGAAAAACATGAATACATTTTTGATAATGGTTCATTCCGCTGAGGAGCGCCGAGCCTTTTTGTCGACTCTCTGCAAAATTATCATGAATTTATTGAACCCCCCCCCCCCTCCCTCCTGATGGCAGCGTGTTGCAGTTCTACAGAGAGAAGGATGATGCTGATTCTGGTGTTTCATAAAAGCTTTTTACATCAGGGAATTTGCAGAAAAACTCTGCAGCTCATTTGGATTCCCGTTGTAATACTGGTGTCGATGTTTTCATGCCTGGAAAGAGGCGGAAACATTCTGTTCTCCAGCTGACATTCTCAGCTCTGACATCACACTCTCTTTTAGAAATTGTCTGCAACTAAAAATGTTATTGATACCTATTTATTTGAATGTTACAAAGATGACTTGTGAGATATGTCTTCATTATCCACCCATGCTGCTTCTCAATGCACTGTCAATATAGTAATTCACATAAAACACATAAAATCAGAGCATAACAATAAAAGCAAGTCTGTTAAATGTAAAGTACCTACAAGAGTGAGTCATAAAGCAGCAGAGGAATGAAGCCAAATACCCGTTCAATTCATAAACACAGTCATAAAAGCTAGAGAGCACACAGGGGAGTGCAGACCTCCTCCTCTGCTCCTCAGTCCTCTTGTATAGAAATATTTATGTACTTATTAATATGTTTAAATCCTTATGGATTCAGATCTGCACCAACATACACAGATTATAAAAAATCATGAGTTGCTTTTCTTTGTCTTTCATGTAAATGCTTTATTTCTTATTGTTAGAGAGCAACTTAAGACCAGGCACATGTTATATATTTGCTTGAGTTGTATTCTTACATCATCCCAAATGTTTCCATCAATTCCCAAGCTGCAGAAATCTGTGATTTTAATCATGATAACGAGCTGTTTCTTTTGGTCGCCAGCCAGTGACGTCATATCCTCTATTATCACGTTGTGTCAGAATTGACTTTTATCCAGTTTTAAGCCACATTTTTAAGAAACACGTTTAAACACTACGCCAGATGAAGGATTTGAATCATCGGACGTCTGGCTTTTAAGTTATCAGAGAAAAAATCTGAGTAAGCGCCCAAGACATCCTGTGTCCGCCGGAGAGCGTTGCTGATTTATAAAGTAAAACTGCCTTTTTCAGTGTTTCTATCTATCTATTTTTAATCCCCTGTTTGTTATGGAGTGGAAACCTCTGCGAATAATTCGACTGCCGGTGAAAACCTCCTGAATGTCTGACACCGAAGGAATCCGAACTGAAGAGCTCACTCCCATGATCCCACGCTGCTTCACAACATCACTAAACACTTTTCTTTTGTTACTGTTTTGATTGAGAGACTCCTAGCAGCAGAGGTTACAGACTGTTCGATGAACTTCTCACCTTGCTGCAGCGATGCAGCACCTCTGGGTGTTAGCGATGCTGGAACAGAGCTGCACCCGCCTCTGTGGCTGGGTGGAGTCAGGTGTGGTCTGTTCTACTTGTGGCCACACTCACCTGTGATGTGAACATTGTACCAGGTGAAATATTTGTGCGTGTCTGTCTCTCTCCTCCCAGGGTGCAGGAGTGATGTCCGTCTACCTCTTTATGAAGCGCTACGCGGAGGAGGAGCTGTACAGGCCTCACCCCGCCCTCTACCGCCCCCGCATGTCCGACTGCAGCGACTACAGCGGCCAGTTCCTCCATCCGGACTCCTGGCCTCCACCGCAGCGCGGCCGCAGCGCCTCCGACGTCTCCTCCGACATCTCCATCCAGCTCAACCAGACTCCGCCCCAACAGCAGCCTCCCAAGGGGGGCAGCAGCTCCCAGCAGACGCCCTCCTCTTCCGGGCCTTCGTCAGCGGCCAGCTACCAGCTCCAGCCGGCCTCGTCCTCCTCCACCTCCTCTTCTTATCCACACCCACTCCACCCGGCCGCTACCTCCACCCTACCCAGGGTCTCCCACGCCCACGCCCACGGTCATCCTCAGCCCCACCCCCACCCGAGTGGGCCCCCTCCCCAGTCCCTGCCCATGGCGGCGCCACCTTCTGCCGTTCCTCCTCCTCGCTATCACACGCACATGCGAATGAGCGCCTCGCCATGCTAGGCTACATACGCGGGGGAAGGGTAGGGGGGGCACAAGTCGGGGGGGGGGATTAGATCGGCTCTGTCACAGCTCTTACACATCACAAGAAAACACACACACAAACACAAATCTTGTACCTTCAAAGTGTGTGGGAGGAGGGAGATGCAGCAGGAGGGAGGTTTACGGAGATCAAGAAAAAGAGGAGAGAGGAAAAGAGGGGAGGAGGGGAGGAGAGGAGAGGCAGGTGGGCGGAGGGATGACTCACCCGCTGATGCCGAGCCCGAGACAAAGACAGACACTCAACGAAACTTTTAACACGCTGGGAGGGAACATGGGAGGGGAGGAGCGAGGGAAACGATCATTAGTAGCAACAAGACGTTCGTAGGGTTTGTGACGGGTACATTCATCATCAGGGCCGTGATACACAGGCAACAGTGTGAAGCAGCACAGGAAACAGGAAGCTGAATCATTTCAGTCCATTCACAAAAAGAACACAAAAAAACTTTAAAAACCATCAATATATCTGATTATAAATGTATTACCCTGTCATCAAACAAGGACTGAGGATACATGCTTTTGTTTGAAAAGCACTAGATTAAAAAAAACGAACATTATGATCATCCTGTTTTTGTACATCCATGGACATGGTTGGGAAAGTTACTTCATTCCATCTTGATTACTTTCTAAATAAATGTTGAAACCACGAGAGTGAACCCGATATATATATAAAAAAAAAAAACAGAATCATACATCAGAAGCAGACAGTTGTTACTGTGGTAATGTTCACGAGGGAGAGGATAAAGATAACACAGTCTACAAACAAACTGCCCTGCAACACACACTGGCAGGGACACACTGGTTCTACTTCATTATACAGACAACAGTGAATGTCCCTGACAGTGAACATGACAAGCAATTCACTTTTTAAAGAAAGTTCTATCCTGTAAAGCGAGAGTTTGTTCAGGATGTAAAAATGATTTTGTTTTTTGATTCTGTTCATACCCCACTAATATAACACCACACTCTCATGCAGATTTGGTCTGCCTGCATCTCTGCTTTTTTTAAATCATATTTTTAAAAATATAATTCATATAATATTGCATCTGCCGGTGTATTCTGTGTTATTTAATAGCGTATTATGTGTCATCAGTCACCAAAGTACTAAACTTGCTCCACGTCACATGAATGTGTCCCACGGTAATAGTCTACAATCAGCAATTTTGGATTTACAGCCACACACTTCACCACATTCTCAGCAGGGGCCTTAAGATGGCAGCAAACATAGCTGATGTGGAGTATGTAAGTACTGATTTAAAATAATTAACACTACTAATAATAATACTAATAGAATATGTTGAAATTTATTTTACATATTAATTTTTTCATTCATGTATTTAGTTGGTGTACAGTGGGGCTGTGGCTCAGGTGGTGGAGCAGGTTGGCCGCTGATCCCTGGATAGGTGATTCAATCGCCAGCTTCCCCAAACACAGGTCTACGAACACCATAACATCGTCATATCATCATGGGGATTGTGATCCGCTGTAGGGATCCCTATAGAGTGCTGCAGAAATGAGTCCAAAGCCCGGAAATGGGTTTTTGAGCGGGTTTTTGGTTAGATGGCTGAAATAAGGTCAATACAAGCTCAAGACCTTTTCACATTTTATTCTAAAAAAAAATGTCAATAAATACCCCAGTTGTGATTTCTTCTCCGGCCGGTTCCTAACAAGTGGCAAAATGAAACTACAGAGGCTGTCCGGGACATTAAATGTCATCACACCAAACATGAAAGCCGACCTACTCACCATCTCCACCTTTACTGCCTCGTTGAGTTTACACTCATACAAACTATCACTACCTTTGTAAGAGGAAAGGCTTTTGTAGAAGCGGTCAGAGCTAAATCGAAGTTAAAGTTTAGTAGCTTTGACGTTGAAGCCATGTGACAGTGGTGTACTTTGTTTTTAGCCTAAAATCTGTTTGTTTTGTTTTTTACTTGGTTGTATTTAGGCTTCAAAAATCATAAAGTGGTGTTCATTAGTGAAGATTATCCTGCTGAACAAAACATGTCAGTAACATAAACTTCTGTTTGTTGCAGAACTGATTTTCTACAGGAATCCAAAAGTCTATGTAAAAATCCCATTGGCTTTTTGTAGAGGGAACAAGGGTGATGCTAACATCTGGGTTAGCCTATAATAATATGATATCTCTGCGGCACTCTATCGGGAGAAGCTGAACGGCACCAGCAACATTTATTTTGTGAACAGAAAACCTTATTCACATGGAAAAATCAAAACAATCAATAAGCTTGAGAAGATTAAGATTTTATTTCTAGATCATGTTGCTCAGCCCAGCTGAAAACTTTTTAATTATAAGCTCCAATAGTTTCATTAGTAATAATAATTTTACCATCAATTATCACATTTATCTTTATGATTTTAGTACAGAACACAATGGTGTGTTGTGTTACTTCCCAACCTTGTTCATGGAAATCTGCGTTACAAAGAAATATGAAAAATACCACTATGATACAGAATATCTATATTATTAATTGTCAGTATTGCTTATAACTTTTGCCCATGTACCATGACCTAAAACCACAAGAACTATTATGTACACACCCACAGGTAAACTGTATATGCATATAGAGATTTATACTCCAACTGTATAGAAATTATTCTTCCCCCTCTCTGACATTCTTGCTGAAATAAAAGTTATGAAAACTGAATCCTGTACGTCCGTCACGGGGTGTAAATACCACAGTACGTTTTAGGTGTTTTAGCCATTGAATTTTCTAAGCTGTTTGTATTTTGAGAGGGAAGCTTTGGGGATGAATGTTCAACATTTTGTGAAATAAAACCGAGGACGTGACTGAAAGACTTTTTAAAGTGTCGAGCACAGTTGGAGAGACTGTCAGTTTCCCCGGTGATCACCCGTGGTACAATCGAAATGGATGCCTTGGACTTTTGGCGCTGTTGCCATGGAACTGAGAATTGAAACATTTATTTAGGTGTGTGCATAATAATACGTGAAGATATGAGAAACCAGACCTCTTAAAACCAGGTTCTGATTGGATTCCATTTGAATCTATTCAATTTAGAAAATAATCAAACCCTGCTGTGGGAGAGTGGTGGAAGAGACAGTTTGGAGGTTTACTCAGAATGATAAATTTCCAGTTCCCAAAAGTAAAGTTTATTTTTGTTCAGTTGAATGACAATGTGCTTCCTGAATTGACAGAATTGAAATGGAATCGAAGTCTTCCTGGTTTTATATAAGAAATAGAAGGTTTATAGATAAAGAGTAAAGACTTGGCACTTTGATTAACACGAGCTTACATGGGGAGCAAACTGAAAACCTGAGTGCACTGTAACAGATGGCCTTGCATTCCAATTTATCTCCTGTTTTAATCTATTATTAATGTAATTAACTCATTGAAATAAGACACTTTCTTTGCATCAGTAATTTTAGTTCTTTCAGATATTTTTTTCAAAAGAGACAACAAGAAATATCTGAAGGTTCAGACAGAGATGTGTTTCAGCCCTGACAAAAATCCAAACTGGTCAGAGTTCCTATTATAACAGCAGATAGATTATGTCCTATTTTCATTTTATCTGCATGAAGAAATGGTACAAAAGTATGTGGATCATTGAACATAACACCTGTATCTGATTGTTGAACCTGTCGTTCCAAAACCATGGCCCATGCACTGCAATAACACAACCCAGTCTTTTGTGAAGACTTATACAGTACATTATAACCCATTCAACCACAAGTGCATTAGTGAGGTCCAGCGGTAATGTTGATTTAAAAGGTCAACACTGGCCCTGTGTGCAAAAACTCCTGATTCATTTGAACGAGGTTGATCCAGTGGCAGAGCAGAAAAACGCAACACAGCGGGCTCCAGAAAAAACAAAAAAGCATGGGGTCATTGTAAAGTCAAACCTGGTGCAGCCGTTGCCAAAATGCAGAGTGGCATCATCTGCAAAGAGAGGTTATTTTATAACATAACCTGAGTTTTTCTACTGTTTCCCTCATGATGGTTACAATGAAAGACATAATCATTTCCAATGTGATAACTTTCCAGAGGCGTAAACTCCTGTGAAGGAGTATTACACAGCACTGTGCAGTGTGGACTCCAGTTGATCCCAAAAGGTGTAGGTATAATTGGGCAGATGATCAGGGCTCTGTGCAGACACGTTCTTCCACACCACCATTTCTTTATGGATCTGACTTTGTGCAAGGGGGCAAACTGTTATAACAGACACCGAAATGCAAACACAGACCAGGAGACTTTGCATTAGCGATCCAAACTGGCAACAGTAGATGAGGACGAGGCTGGACGTGGCAGGTGTTCTGATAAGCAGAGCCCAGAATTAGCAGAGTTCAGGTGAGCACAAAAACAAACAACCAGAAGGCAAAGAACTGCTGTACCGCATTGGTGACTGAACAATCTGGCAGAGTCTGGATGAATGAGCTGAGGTTTTTATACTACAGTGGCATGTAGAGTTGATTAGCTGATCAGCTTCAGGTGCTCAGGTTGAACGTAGGGAGAGGGATGCTGCGTTGACGTGCCCCTCAGTTGGTCCTATTCCCTAAGTTAGGAAGTCATTCTTCCGACTTAGAATGTGGAACAAACATGGATGCTACAAAGAAGATGTGCTGTATTTTATTGCTCAGAGCGTTAAAATAACACAATAGTATTTGTGTTACTTATTATAAGGGTTGCTGTTAATACATAACTTTTCTAGCTAATCTAGGTCACTCTATGTGGACAGCAACTGGTGGTCACAACCTAATACCAAATTACAAAATACATGTTAGCAAAAACTTGATATTCCATTGGTGAATTTGCACCATTAATCAAAAACTTCTCACCATCAAGCAAACATCTACTTTTGTCCACCATGTTTCTGCGTATATGACGTCAACAACTTGGCAAGTCATGCACCAAAGTTTTGGTCGACTTTCTGAGTTTTTGTTCCAACTTGGGGAATTTCCTCAGTTGGAAAAAGAGGGCTAAAGCTGA